GGTTTTACTGGCTTTGGTTATTAACACGAACGCGACAGTGACTGGTGCTGCGTAAAGTCCACACTCACCACATCAGCAGAGTTGCCAGATGTCACCGATTCACGTTTTCCAGCCCCAAATTGTTCATAAACCGCCTGGAAATACGAAATCTCACCCAATTTGAACCAAAGTCTATTGATCTCTTAGGCCATAAATCATAAATTTAAAAGAAACATTTTTTACCCATAGACGTCCCATCCATAACGGCCAGACTGGGAAACATAGATGCAACTCCCCATCATGCACCGCAACATATTTTTACAAAATATTCAAACATAAATTTGCCAATTATGAAGGGAACATTGTAGTTTGGTTCAAAAGAAAGCATTTTAGCTTTATTATAATTTAGTTTGTTGCAGGGATTTTACAGTTTAAAGAAACAGGATTTTACATTTTGAAGAAATTGAAAATTACACCTTATGCCAACCGTCACAAGGGTGTGCATGACAAGGAAGGGCTATATATATATATATATATTGCACACATCATTTTATTAGTTAACATTGTATTACTTCTTGAGCTCCTTCAGTTATTTACTGTTACAGGAAGGTGCTGTGGCTGGAGAGTAAGTATTGGGGCCAGTATGATTTAAGGAGGGCCGGTCCTTGCATGATGATATTAGGACCGGCACATTGGGCAAATGCCCAGTATCACAGATTACCATTCCAAGCCTGTTTGTGATAACGTTTCAGATTTTCACCCTCTCATTTATCTAGCTACAACATTCACTGACCTGCTCTTACAATTTCAGAAGACATCTGACACAACTTAACCAAGAGCCAGCCTGACCGCGTCCCCTCTTAATCTTCCTATGCCTATGGAAAGCATGGCTTCAATGTTGCTTAGTCTGATGCTGCCATGAAACTTTTTAAATATATTTCGCTTAAGGTTTAATGATCCCGCAAAAAGGCTTATTAAATGCCTTAGGTAGCGTTGGGGTTCTCTACGTCTCTGCTAAAACTTTTCTACACCTTTACTTTTCAGATCTTTGCTTGTGGAGTCATCTGGCAGCTGGCATTAAGACAAACATATGCCACACTCTCAAATCTGCATGTTTTCCCACAGGATCCATCCATCCATCCAAAAAAACAGTAAAAGAACAAAATCAACTTGAAACGGACCCTTTTCCTCCACCTGATAAGAGCAACCCTACAGCATCATGCCTACATAGCTACAGTCTGTTAACGATGGAAATATTTCTGTAGTATTCTGTAGTTTCCTTTAATGCATATTTTCAGCTTTTTCAAAAGAAAAAAATAAATAAAAATAATATGCTGTAAACTATATATTAAAAGATTCAATTCCATCAGTTTGATGAACTCCATTTAATATTGAAAACATTTGGAATGGCATGAAAGTAGAAAACATGTGCAGGCACTATTAAAAAGTTTTCTGTTTGTCGAAACATCTGAACAGCATAGATCATATTGGGTCTACCTCGCAAAGATCTATGACTTTGTGCTGGCCCATAACAAAATAATCCCAGTAAAACAT